CCTGGGAGCAGATGCGGCGGAGGCGAAGGAATTGGGAATAGGGGATAGCATTTTTGCAGGAAGGTGGGTGGGAGGAGGAGTATTCTAGGTAGCTGTGGGAGTCGGTGGGCTTGAAATGAATATCGGTTTCGAGGTGGTTGCCCGATATGGAGACAGAGAGGTCCAGGAAGGGGAGAGAGGTGTTAGAGATGGTCCAGGTAAATTTAAGGTTGGGGTGGAAGGTGTTAGTGAAGTGTATGAACTGTTCGAGCTCCTCGTGGGAGCACGAGGCGGCACCGATACAGTCATCAATGTAACGGAGGAAGAGGTGGGGTTTAGGGCCGGTGTAGGTACGGAAGAGGGATTGTTCCACGTAACCTACAAAGAGGCAGGCGTAGCTTGGGCCCATGCGGGTACCCATGGCTACCCCCTTTGTCTGTAGGAAGTGGGAGGAATTGAAAGAGAAGTTGTTGAGTGTGAGGACAAGTTAGGCTAAGCGGATGAGGGTATCAGTGGAGGGGGACTGGTCGGGCCTGCGGGACAGGAAGAAGCGGAGGGCCTTAAGGCCATCTGCATGGGGAATGCAGGTGTAGAGGGACTGGACGTCCATGGTAAAGATGAGGTGTTGGGGACTGGGGAATTGGAAGTTCTGGAGGAGGTGGAGGGCGTGGGTGGTGTCACGGACATAGGTAGGGAGTTCCTGGACCAACCATACCGTACAGAATCAGCAGAAGTGAATTATCTGAACATATTATTTAGCGTGAGGACACCACATATAATCAACAACCTCAAAATTTTGCATGGATTGGCAATCTGTGCTCAAAGTCATGGTAATCCAAGCAACAAGCCCCAATGCAGCCACCATACACCTTCACAGCATTATTCAGCTGCTTCTTCCTTTCTCACTGCTCCTTCAAGCCTGTGTTTTAATTGGGGTTAACCTCTCTGGGAACAGCAGACAATTTCTCTCAGATTTGATGAATTCCTGGGATCTCTAGCTGATACAACAACTGCTTCGGCTTCCAAAGAGATACAGAATCTTAGATTCTGGAAAAGTCCCAGAAGATTGGAAAGTTCACAATGTAACATCTTTATTCAAAAAAGGGAGACAAGAAAATAAGCCAGTAGTTTAACACCTATTATTGGGAACAGCTTAGAATCTATTATAAAGATAAAATCACCACAGTCTTACCAGACCACAGGGCTGCTGTGTCATTAGAGAGACAACTGAGTGGTGGTTGAACCCAAGGGTCGCCACTCCCCAAAGGGAGAGGGTGAGAAGGAGAATCCTTCACGGCAAACACAGCCAGTGCAGGAATGGAACCCATCACTAACCAGCTGTACAGCCAACTGAGTTAACCTAGACTATGGAGTACATAAATGAAAGAACATTTTTCATTCATGGGATATGGGCATTGCTGACTGGACCAGCATTTATTGCCCATCCCTAGTTGTCACCATGAGAAGGTGGTGGTGAGCTGCCTTCTTGAACCACTGCAATCCATGTACTGTAGATGGACCCAAAATGCCTTTAGGGAGGGAAATCCAGGATTTTGACCCAGCGAACAGTGAAGGAACAGCAATACATTTCTGAGCCAGGATGGTGAGTGGCTTGGAGGTAACTTGCAGGGTGGTGGCCCCTGTCCTTCTAGATGGTAGTGGTCGTGGATTGGGAAGGTGCTATCTAAGGTGCCTTGGTAAATTTAGTAATGGATAATCTAATCAAGCAGAGTCAGAGTCAGGACGGGGAACCTGAAAAATTTACTAAAATTCTTTGAAGAGGTAATAAGCAGGATAGATAAAGGAGAATTGGTCAATGTAATATATTTGGATTTCCAAAAGGTGTTTGATAAGGCTCTGCACATTAGGCTAATTAATAAGATAAAAAGCTTATGATGTTGGTGGTAGTATATTAACATTGATAAAGGACTGGCTAACTTATAGAAGACAGAGAGTTGGGATAAGGGGAAGGTATTTTCAAGGTGGCAACCTGTAACAAGTGGAGTGCCATAGGGATCAATGCTGGGACCACAATTATTTACTGTATATTTTAATGGTTTAGATGAGGAAATTGTATGTAGTATCATTAAGTTTGTGGTTGTCACAAAAAAGGTTGGAAAGCAAGTGACGAGGATAACACAAAGAATCTGCAGACGGATACATACAGGTTAAGCGAGTGGGCAAAACTTTAGCAGAGGAAATGTAATGGTGAGTTTATGCACTTGGATATGAAGAATAAAGGAACTGAATATTATTTATCTAGAGAAACACTGCAGAAATCTGCAACACAGAGCGATTTGAGAGTCCTTGTGTATGAATTAAAAAATGCTAGCATCCATGTTCAATGGGTAATAAGGAAGGCAAATGGAATGTTGATCTTTATTTCAAAGGGAATAGAGCAAAGAAAGAGAAGTTTGCTAAAATTAAGCAAGGCAGTATATGGACCTCACCTGGAATATTGTGAACAGTCTAAAGAGAGATATACTGGAATTGGAGAAGGTTCACTCGGCTGATACCTGATATGGAGGGACTGTCTTATGAGGACAGATTAAGTAGGTTGGGAGGTACTCATTGGAGTTTAGGAGAATGAGAGGAGACCTTATTGAAACATATGAGAATCATAGGGGACTTGAAAGGGTAGATATGGAAAGGTTGTTCCCCTTTGAGAGAGAGTTTAGGACTTTTTAGGACATTTCAGAATAAGACAGAGATGAGAAGGAATTTCTTCTCTCAGAAGGCAGTGAATCTGTGGACTGTTGATTTGATCTCATTTCATTTATTGTTGTCACATGTACCTAGGTACAGTGAAAAATTTTGAAAATAAAAAGTGCTGGAGATCACAGTGAGTCAGGCAGCAACCATGTAGAGAGAGCAAGCTAACATTTCAACTCTAGATGACTCCATCAGAGTGAAAAGTT